CACTTACATATTATGCTTTTATAATTATTAGTTGTAAAACGGTCACCAGGCAATATTATCGTTTATCGCAATAAATTTTGAGACAATTAATCGCCCAGCAAAATTTGTTATCGTGACAGGCCTAGTGGGGGTTTCTGAAAATGCAACAGTCTTCACAAATCCCATGTAGACAAACATCCATCTGGAACAATCCTGACATCCTGCAACAAAACAATATGTTAAACTTCCCAGGTTGGAGAGGTAAAGGAATCGAATAACTGGAACATATATTTGAAGGTGTAGACTTTAGTCCATTTAACAAGTTAATGATACAATATGGCGTTGACAAGAATACATTTTTAGAATATCAACAAATTAAATCTATAACAGAAATAAATTTCAGCTCAGTAAAACTTTGTTAGAAACACCATCTGTCAGGTGTTGGTTCAGAATGACCCAGGGCACAGGCAGAGTTCGGGTGAAGAAAAAACAAAATGTTTGTTAAAGACTGTATTATTGTTCTACTGCTTTATTTGCAGATATTTTTTTCTGTAAAATGTTAATGTAGCTATGCAATTTCTGTTTAAATAGCAAGAGAATAAATATTTGAAAGTTACACACAGGGACTCTAATGAATTATTTGTGTACTTATTAGGAAATTGATACAATCATTCAAAGAAATATTGAATTAAATTAAATTGAATCAAAATAGAATTGAATTGTGACCCAAAGAATTATAATTGAATTATATTGTGAGGTTTTTAACAATACCCAGCCCTAACAGAACACAAACTCAGCTGTATGGATTGTTTGGAAGAAGTTTAGAAATAGTCCATAATGAGAAGAAGAGTAAAAGTTGGAGAGTCCATTATGTTAGAGAGAAACCAGTTTTTTATGGAGGAATATTGTTTTTTTCATGAAGCTGACTGTTGGTTTAAGCTGCAGCCACTTCCTTAATACTGTATGTTTGTCTCTGGAATATAGCTACACCTGGTTAACATCACTTCTAATGTTAACCAGGTGGAGCTAGCTGGATTGTAGCTATTCATGGTTAACATTACAGTAGACCTACTAGCCCACTGTGGGACTTTTAATATATATTTCAAGCTACTAATAAACATGATGGAGGATCATATTTCTTTAGCTGGGCTAGGAGTGATTACTATTACAATTTCATTTAAGCTGATTTTTACCTAAAAGTTAGGCCACATTATGTTTGTTAGACTGTGGCTAGAAATGACAACGTTATTTAACCTAATTTATGCCYACTTTATTTATTTGTTTATCAAATTGGGCTGTTTCTTTACCTGTGAATAGAAAGGTGATTTGTTCTGTAACTGCTGTTCCACTTGGTTGTTTCTCACGTGTGATGGGTCAAATGCAGAGCACAGATTTCATCACTGCATGGGAGCAGTCATTGATGACAAATAAAATACATTTATGTGATAGACTCACTTCATGAATGATGAACTGAAACAGCAAAACTCCATAATGTGACATTCAGGTAAAAATAAACATAATAATAAAAAATAATTACTTTTTCTTTACCTGCACGTGGAAGTTTAAAAAAAGGTGCCAGGCAGAATAATGGTGCGTTCACACCAAACGCGATTTCAGCGTCAGGAGCAGCAGGTTTACATGCAAAGTCTATGGTGGACACACTTCAAGCAACGTCGGGAAGTGCTGCGGAGCCTCAAGCACGATT